GGATTTACAATTCCTTTTTTGGTCCTGGAGTGAGCGCGAAAGAGGAGCGATATCTCAAAACAAAAGTCAGTGCAAAAAAGGTATTTTGGTGTATTTTCGTTCACTCCCTTCATTTGGTAAACCTTTCACCCCCCGTCTCGATTCGAAATGAGGAGCTATCGTATTCCATGCTGTCAGATTTCAAATCTGAAGTTCAGACACCCTGGAGCCAATCTCAAACACACGGCCCCACTTCATATTCCGTGCTACTATCAGATTTCAGACACCCAGTCCATAATGTCGGACTTCACCGTTCAGGCTGACGTCGCTCCTGATACAGATATGCGCGCTCTTAGTACTAGTGCTGACCATCGCCTCAGCACAGATAGCAGGCTACCGGCAGCAGCTGTCAACGGAGACGGCTACACGTGGCTCAAGTATGGCAACAAACACGTCGGGAATAACGTCAGGTACTGAAGCTTTCTCGTACTATTCGAGGAAATCTCACTGTTGATGTTGATGTTCTTAAAAGTCGCTCCCTCAAGTCTGCCTCTCCCGCAACTGGCCCATCGAGAAAGAAAAACACTCGAAGGGACGATTACTCGAAAGGGGATTCTCAATAGAAGCTCTCCATTTGGACCAATATGTAGACTTCCCGTCATGTTTTGGGCCTGAGTCTTCTGTGATCCGTTCAAATTGGACGATGCTGGGTAGTAGATTCGCGACTAAGCCTGCGGCTTTATGGCAACTGCTAAGTGCCTTCCGAATGTGATCCTGCTCTGTCTGTTGTATGAGGGAACTGGACATAAGTGCCATCTTAATCCGTAAAGGGACAATGTGACCCAGATCCCAGATTTGAAATCTCCTACTTTTTCCCTCTCTTTTCAAACATAGCATGAGCTTTCCTGGTCAGCATTCTTTTGTGGAAATGCGTTTGCGTGTGCGTAAAGTATTTCACCCTCAACACCACACTTATTCCTCCCTACTATAGCAGGTGCCAGGACAACAGATGCATTTGTTTCAACATCTCCAAATTCTGAAGTACCTTTCCTTCCTACAGTACACTCCATACCCCTCACACATTTTTCTTTAGTATGTTTAACCCCCTCACACAGGTGCTACAAGTACAGATGCTCGTGGCCTTAGACTGATGCTAAACGCCATTCTCACAATCCATTCCCATCTCACATGTGTCTCTTTTAATTCCTTCTCCCCACATGCAGGTGCTACTACAGATGCGCGTGGTCCAAGAGCCCAAGAGCCTGCCCTGCCAGAAAAACCATTGACTTCGCCACTGCATGCACTTCTGGTACTACCGCCACCATCAGTACTCACCTCCCAGCAGCTAACGCCAACGTGTTAGGCAACAGCAGTGCAATATCACATGACACAGTAGTGGTACCTGCCGAGGACCTACTCACAGTACCTGCCAGCAGTGCCACCTTCTCCCACGAATACCCAAACTGCCGCCCAGCCTCAGAACGCCACTTGGTATTGGCCTGCGAAGGTCTCACAATCATATACCACAACAATCACAACCACCAGGCGCGCGGGCATCCCCCACGCCGCCACAAGCGGCAAATGGCTCGGCTTGAGAAGGCGGCAGCAGCGGCAGCGGCGGCGGCAGCTGAGTCAGCAGCCAGTAAGCTGGTCGAAGCCAGGACGCTTTCTCCAAGGCTCGAGAAGATTCTTGCCAAGGCCCAGGAGAATTGGCTTTTGCTGGGTGCTACTGAAGAAGAAAATACTTCACATACGCCTTCACATGCCCCTTCATATGCCTCTTCACATGCCCTTTCACATGCCCCTTCACATGCTCCTTCACATGCCCCTTCACATGCCCTTTCACATGCCCCTTCACATGTCCCTTCACATGCGCCTTCACATGCCTCTCCGCACACCTCTGCAAGTTCTGCAGATGCCTATATGCACGCCCTTCTGCCCACCCCTCCAAAAACTCCTGCACATGGCGCACATACCCCTCCACTCGCCCCACCACACGCCCTTCCGCGTGCGTTCAGTCAGGATTCCTTCAGCTCGCTCTTTGGCAGGTTCAGCAACAACGGTGGGCAGCAGTTGTTCCTAGCAGGGCCGCGTGTGGCCACACACGCAGCGGATTCGCAAACATTTTCTGGAAAACGTCTGAAGATCAGCCCGCTCGCTAGAATGTGCAGCAGCGAAGCTGTTCAGCAATTGCATGCAGCAGGGGCGTGTGTGGCTGCACGCGCTGTGGATTTTCAACCATTCTCTGAAAACGATCTGAAGATCAGTTCTCTCTCTGGCAGGTGCAGCAACGGAGGTGAACAGCAATCGCTCCTGGCAGGGCTGTGTGAGGCCACACATGCTGCAGTGATGACAGAAAAGGAGGCGAATGAACTTCGAGGGTGGGCAGATGAGCCGCAGCTGCTGGTTATGTCGCCTCCGACTGTCACTGTGTTGGACCTTGTGGGATGTTGTCAGGGCAGCAGCGAAAGCGCTGGCTCATTGCCACAGCATGAGCAGTGGCAGCAGCAGCAACGACAACAGCAACCGCAGCAGCAGCAACGACAACAGCAGCCACAGCAGCAGCAACGACAACAGCAGCCGCAGCAGCAGCAACGACAACAGCAGCCGCAGCAGCAGCAACGACAACAGCAGCCGCAGCAGCAGCAACGACAACAGCAGCTGCAGCAGCAGCGGGTGCACCACCCTATATTTGATGTGCTCGGTGGAGGCAACAGCATGAGCGTTCAGGACTTTATAGAGTGCAGCAGTGCAGAAAGTATATCATACTCGTGGAGCTATTAGGAAGCAATGCATCGGATCTGTAACCGAAACATGGCAAATACCATAATCTGGTGTTTTACACCGAGCAATTCATTTACAAATGCCAAATCTATCTGTAGGGAGGGGGAAGAGGGGAGAGATTAAGAGGGAGAGAGAGAGAGAGAGAGAGAGAGAGAGAGAGAGAGAGAGAGAGAGAGAGAGAGAGAGAGAGAGAGAGAGAGAGAGAGAGAGAGCCCCTTAGTCCCTTAGCCTGTCGGCCTCTCCTGCCCCTAGTATAAAAGGCCAAGTGCTTCGTGTTAGAGCTCATTATTCAGCTGCGGTTTCAGTTCTTCTTACCCAGCGGTTGAGGGAGAGAAGAGAGAGAGAGAGAGAGAGAGAGAGAGAGAGAGAGAGAGAGAGAGAGAGAGAGAGAGAGAGAGAGAGAGAGAGAGAGAGAGAGAGAGAGAGAGAGAGAGGCGACTCTGCCGGTGGCGCTGGGAGGTTTAGGGCTCATTGACCCATTGTCGGAGGCACCGGCGGCATACCTGGCCTCGCTAAATGCAGCCCAGACCCTCCTGCAGCAGGTTACGGCCGCACCAGATCACCCGCTGCGGTGTGTAGGGGAGCTGGTCTCACCGCAAGGGGAAGGGGCAGCAGTGGGCAGCAGAACTACGCTACAGGACATGCGGAACAGGTTCCCAGAGGCGGCACAGGAGCTGCTTAAGGGTTTCAGCCAGGAAAAGGGGGGGAAGGGGCAACTTCAGGAGCTCCTCTCCAAGCATATCAATCAGGACAGGGCAGCGGAACTACTGGGGAATACTCGGGTGGATAAAACAGGGGAGGATAATGGCCATGTGATCTGCTTGATCAGCCTGCAGGGAGTAGGGGCAGGGGATTGGCTACACGACATCCCTACGAGAGGGGACCTGACGTTTTCGCCGGGCCAATATGCAATAGCCCTGGGTTTTCGCTTGGGGCTGACCCGTGCCACGGTGAACGATCACAGATACATGACCGGAGCCTCCCCAACCACCTGCTGAGGTGCGCGGAAGGAAAAGACAGGACAAACACGCACAATTCCCTGGTGTATGCGGCACTGCGAATGGCGCGCGAAGCGGATTACATGACTTTGCATGAGACCACTGTCTACTCGCAACCCATCAACCCTAAGCGAGCGGACCTGGCTATCAAAGACCGTGAGTCTGCTGAAACGTTCGTCACAGACGTCACGGTCACGGATCCGGTGCTGCAGCGGCGTGATTTAGGGGCCACCAGGGGACCGGGCTGGGCGGCAGAGGAGGCAGCAAGGACGAAAAGGGGGCTGTACGAAGGGCGCCCGGACTTCGTAGGGGTATTCGGGCTGGCGGTGGAAACTTATGGTGCCCTAGCGCAGGACACCCAGAGGTTCCTTCGTCTCCAAGCTGACTGCGCATTACCGACAACGCTGGTCGGTGATGCTGCAGCGCAGCCAGGCGAACGCCCTGCTGGCAAAGTCCAACAGGACGACGGAGAGGGCCTTTCCCCAGGCCCCAGCAGACCCGTGGGAACCCAGCCTCGGGGACCTCTGGCAGGTCCTTGAGGATGGGCTGGACTGGGGGCCGGCCCTGGATGGGTGAGGGGAGAAGGAGGGGCTGGAGCGAGAGGATGCTCCAGGCCGCGGCACGGGGTAGGCCCCTCGGTTGCGCTGGCCAGCCATTGGGCAGACCTTACGGGAGGGTGTTGGCTTGGCCTGGTCACAGTTGGGGTCGCATGGTTGCAGGCTAGCCGGCCAAATACCTAGACTGTTTGCTTAATACCAAGATAATATCTCTTGCATGCCTAGGGTTTGCTTGCTATAATCTTGCACATGCCTTGCATGTACCCCGTATACACATTAATGAAGGACCGCTTGAGAGAGAGAGAGAGAGAGAGAGAGAGAGAGAGAGAGAGAGAGAGAGAGAGAGAGAGAGAGAGAGAGAGAGAGAGAGAGAGAGACTCTGAGGGTCACGGGCGACGAGCATCTGACTCTGCACGGCAAGGTGATACTGCTCAAGGACCGTCGCAAGGCGCGTCACGAAACACCCGATCTGAGACAGGCGTTCCCCACGCTCAAGATACTCGGCTTCGCCGGGGTGTTCATTCCACCCGCACCCCCACCCAGGCTCGCGGGGATAATTCGACCAGCCCATGTTTCACCACTCCAACTGCGGATCTCGGGCAGTCCCGGGTGTCTCAAAATCGTCCCAGCCGCGGTGGCGCTTGTTTGGCTGAGACGACATCTGGATAAGAGTCACGAGGAGTCAGACACGGGAAAGTGGATCATCACCACAGACAGAGAGAGAGAGAGAGCACACAAAAGGAAAGTCAACAGCGGGGAAAGCTGGGCCAACACGAGGGAAGGCGTCAAGCATGGGGGCACTTCTGCCGGTGACGAAGGAATCAGACTCACCACACCCCAGCGAGCAGTGGCAGGACGGGGACGGGGAACAAGGGATGCTGACGCTGAGGTTGCTGGACAGGAGGAGCGGTCGGGAGCGGAGGCTGCACCGGCAAAACCGACGGCGGTAGAGGAGGAGATGCGGGAGGAAGGACAGGCGTCGGCTGTAACTGAAGGGAGGCGAGCGCAGGTGGAACCAATGCTTGCGGCGGCTGAGCAGGCGGGGGAGGAGCTGACGGGGGAGTAGGCGCTGCAGGCGCTGGCAGCAGCGCAGGAACGTGCCGAGGGGGAGGAAATGGACTCGGCCTCCAAGGCTGATGGCGGGGACGCCGGAGATGACGGAAGGGCTGACCCTGCGGGTGGAGATAGTACGGCGTTCGACCAAGTGGCGGGTGATACACAGGGCCTCGGGAGTCCGGGGAGGAACGCCGATCACGTCCTGATCCGCTGCTCAATTCGGGTTCAACCAAGTCCGCGGCGGCTCAGAGCAGGGCTGGCACCTGGCCACCTGGCTTCCCTGGAACCCTTCAGCGGTGGGAGTGCCAGACTTACCCACCACGACCTCACGGCGAGGGGCCTTTGCGGCCTTGCCCGTCATCGGCAGGAGCGGAGGAGGAGGAAGCGGGCGAGTTTCCAGAAGAGGATGAAGGTTTGCGACCGCCAAGTGCGGTGGGAAGGACGCGAGGAAGGACACGAGGCCGAGCACAGGGGTGCGCAGGGGTGCGGGGATGGGGGCAACGGGGAGTGGCGGCCAACGCGCGAGAACGAGTCAGATCCGGTCCATGGCGGGAAAGGCACGGGAGGCCAGAGGTGGTGCCAGAGGAGGGGATCGCTGATAGGCCAGCTGCTGCTGACATCGAGGAGGAGGAGGAGGCCCATATGGCATCGGAGGAAGGAGAATCGGAAGAGGTCTCACTGGATGATGAGCCTGGGGTGGGTAACCACCAAGGGAACGCCCGATCTGGGAGATCAGGAAGCGGAGGAAATGGGAGGGCAGGAGAGGAGCAACAGCACAAGGAGGCGCCAAACGAGGCCCCAATAGGCCAACCTGCTGGCGCGGAAGTGAGAGACATGCGCTCTCCCGAAGTGATAGCTAGGGACGAGAACATCAGGCGACAGGTGGCAGAATGGGAGGTTGACTGCCAGCAAAGCAGTGAAAAACCCTTCCTGGCAAGGAGAATGTCACCTGGAGTGGTGGATTCATTTGCAGCGTGCCTTGTCATCCCGCTCTAGCGACTGAGATAAAATCCTATGTGCCCGGGAGCTTGGAGGGCACTCCTCTTTTTGCCACGGTTGACACTCCGCGCCGACATTGATCCCAACTGCGCAAATCACTGGTAGGAGATCGAGGGCAGACTGCAACAGTTCCGACTGGAAAAATGGGAGCTACTGTTGATGCAAGCCAAAACTGTACTAGAAGACCCCAAACCGGCCAGACACCAGCCAGACCCCGAGGGACTACGAGCGAGAGCCGAAGGTCTGGTACAGAAAGCAAATCTTGCCAAAGCTGTTCCAGCACTGTAGTCCTCCCCCCTCGCGGAAGTATCAACGACTACACTCGAGGCACTCCGCGCAAAACACCCGGAGGCGTCAATTGCCATACCGGGCTGGGTAACCGGGTTCAAGGCATCAACGCCGACAAGCTACGCAAAGTATTGACGAAATGCCCGAATGGGATCGGCGCTGGCCCTTCCGGAACCTGTTTTGAGCATCTTCGCGAACCTGTGCTAGCAAATGGGGAAGTGCTCACAATCCTGCTAGAAGCCGTCAACAATCTGCTTGGCAACGAGCAACCAGAGAATATTCGTGAACTCTTACTGCCATCCCGACTAATCGCCCTGGAGAAACCTGATGGAGGCGTGCAGCCGATAGCTATAGGAGAAGCACTGCTTTAACTAACAGCCAAGATCGCACTACGGGAGCTCGCGCCGTAGATTCGAAAATACTTCTTAACAGTGCAGTTCAGAGTGTCTGTCTCAGGAGGAGCGGAGTGTATTATCCACTCCACGCGAGCACTTCTTAAGGATGACCCCGACCGAGTCGCGGTGCAGTTGGATATTGAGAACGCCAGAGCTTCTTCACATCGCTCAGATGGTTGGGACTTCACCCTATGGTCCCCTTCATGCGCACGCTGTACAAAAGCCCCTCCCGACTACTTCTAGATGAGGGGTTTTCCTCAAACCACATTGAGAGCACGAGGGGAGTACGACAAGGGGACCCGTTGGGACCGACACTTTTTGCGGCGGCTATACAACCGGCGCTACTTAAAGCCGCAAATGAATTCCCATCGGTGCCGATGATGGCATACGCAGACGATATTACTCTGGTGAGAGACCCTGAGTCGGTGGAACGAGCGATGCTGCTGATCACCAACAAACTACACACCTCTAGGCTACGATGCAGCCTGGCGAAATCCTCGGCATGGAGCTCGGCGGGCGCGCTTAACAACCTACCAGCGAGACTCGTGGCGGCAGTGGACGACATCAAAGGCCTAGGGAGCCCGATTGGATCGGCGACCTTTGGGAGGAACTTTGTACGGACAGCACTGGAGAAGATTGCCGCGCCCTAGGACCTCATCAGTGGACTTCATCCCCAGCACGCCATGCTCCTGCTTTCACGCTGCATCTCGAAGAGAGCGTCGTACCTGCTCCACAAGACACAAGCGGACCTCATCTCACAGGCGGAATGGCGCAATTGGAGCGAGCGACTACTCCGGACAATCCTTAGAGCGACACATCTCCACCTGCCGGCGGACGAGATGGACCAGAGCCTCCTATGGCGCCACGCGACACTACCGGTGGCCCTGGGGGGCCTGGGCCTGATAGACCTGCTCTCCGAAGCCCAAGTAGCGTACCTCTCATCTCTGACGGCGGCCCACACACTCCTACAGCAGCTCCACTTGGCGCCAAGCAACCCCATGATTAGCACGGCACGGCTCGTGTCACCAGAGCCAGGGGAACAGAGGACCAACGGGGAAGACATCCGAAGGGACATGTGGGCTTGCCTGCCAGCATCAGCCCAAGCGGCATTACAAACGTACTTGGAGCGAGATGATGGGAAGGGACACCTGCAGCTGATAATGTCACGACACATCAATACGTAGCGGGTGGCAGAACTACTAGGCAACACACGGGCGAACAAACCGGGCGCGGACAGTGGCCATCTCCTACGCCTACTGAGCCTCCAAGGAGCGGGCGCGGGAGATTGGCTGCATGCCATCCCAATGTGGGCAGACCTTACCTTCTCCCTGTCAAACACTATATGTGTTATTATTGTGTAGGCTATAGTGGGTTAGCCTTTAGGGGGTACACAAAGTTAGGGTTTCCTACTTGTACTCCAACTTTCATAGTTCAATCACTTCTTGTTTGTAATATGGTATCAGAGCAGGTCCTCCGCTAGGACCGATTCCTAGGGCCCACCACTACTGCTACTTCCTAGCGCCCTCGTGCGCCCTACCTTCGGAGCGCCCTCGAGCGCCTCCCCCTAGCGCCCTCGTGCGCCTCGATTTCACGGCCCCTAAGGCCCCGTTTACCCCGCGCGCGACTTGCTTAGAGGCCCCGTCGGCCCCTTATACCCACGCGCGCCCACCCCTTAGCGGCCCCGTCGGCCCGTCGACCTCGTTACAGGCCCCGTCGGCCCCGTATACCCCGCGCGCGCCCATCCCTTAGCGGCCCCGTTCGCTCCCCCTCGACCCACGCGCCGCCTCTTAGCAGCCCCGCTGGCCCCGTCGACCCGTGCGCGACCTCTCTAAAGGCCCCGTCGTCCCTGTACACCCGGCGCGCACCCACCCCTTAGCGGCCCCGTCGGCCCCATACACCCGGCTCCAACGCCCGGGTCTGTAGTACCAGCAGCAGCTCCAACACCCGGGTCCGCAGCACGAGCAGCAGCTCCAACGCCCGGGTCTGCAGCACCAGCAGCAGCTCCAACGTCCGGGTCCGCAGCACCAGCAGCAGCTCCAACATCCGGGTCCGCAACACCAGCAGCACCTCCAGCGTCCGGGTCCGCAGCACCAGTAGCAGCTCCAACGCCCGGGTCCACACCACCAGTAGCAGAGTCCACGACACTAGGAGCGCCACTCCTGAGACTGCAGCGCCGTGCTCTTGCTGACCCTGTGTCTGACTCTCTTCGTGCTCCCAGTCCTACTGTTACGCGTCTCCTTGCCACTGCTGTCACTGACCCTTCGTTTGAGTCTGCTGCTGCGTCTGCACTAGTTGCTGAGCTTGTCGACTTTGCTGCTCGCTGTCGTCTAGACTACGCTGCCAGTCTTGTCACTAAGTCTGAGTCTGTATGTCCTCCGTCTGTCGCGGGTGAGTGTGTCCTAAGCACGGACGTCCTTGAGGACAGACAGGAGGACCTTGAGTGTCTTGCAGCCGCCGCGCCCCATCTCGTGTCCATGCTCGTTGCCCCTGAGGGAGACCCGGATGCACCAGACATCCCGACTCCTCGATCGTTCGCTGAGGCGATCGAGGGTCCCTACTCCTCTCAGTGGCAGTCAGCCATGGACACAGAGATGGCTTTATGGAAGTCCACAGGCACCTACGTCGACGAAAATCCCCCACCTGGGGCGAACATCGTCAGTGGCATGTGGATTTTCAGGGTGAAGCGGCCGCCGGGTTCTCCGCCTGTCTTCATGGCGCGCTACGTTGCTCGAGGCTTCAGTCACCGAGAGGGAGTTGACTTCTTCTAGACCTTCTCCCCGACCCCGAAGATGACCACTCTTCGGGTTCTGCTGCACGTCGCTGCTCAGCGTGACTACGAGCTTCACTCTCTTGACTTGAGCACAACTTTCTTGCAGGGCAGTCTGCACGAGGAGATCTTGCTACCCCACCCTCCTGGCTTCACTAGGTCGTTCCCTCCTGGTACCGAGTGGAGCCTCCGCCGGCCGGTCTACGGTCTCCGCCAGGCGCCACGTGAGTGGCACGACACACTGAGGACTACTCTTGTGGCACTTTGGTTCTCTCCTTCTACTTCTGACCCGTAGCTGTTTCTACGCACCGACACTTCGCTGCCGCCGTTCTACATCCTCGTGTACGTCGACGACTTGGTCTTTGCCACAGCTGACACTGAGTCTCTCACCCACGTGAAGTCGGAGCTGCAGAAGAGACACACGTGCACAGACCTGGGTGAACTGCGCAGCTACCTTGGCTTGCAGATCACCCGGGACAGAGCACGCCGCACCATTACCCTGACTCAGTCACACATGGTGCAGCAGGTCCTTCAGCGCTTCGGCTGCACCTGGTCCTCAGCACAGGCCACTCCTCTGGCTATAGGTCACTCGCTCTCAGCTCTGCCTTCGGATGAGTCCGTAGAGTCGAGTGGTCCTTACCCAGAGTTAGTTGGTTGCCTCATGTACCTGATGACTTGCACCCGTCCTGACCTAGCATACCCTCTTGGCCTTCTGGCTCGCTACGTGGCTCCTGGTCGTCACCGAAAGGTGCACTGGGATGCTGCAAAGAGGGTATTGCGCTACTTGTGCAGTACATCAGGCATGGGGCTCGTGCTTGGAGGAGGGAGCTCAGTTGTTCTCACTGGGCACTCAGACGCTTCTTGGGCTGACGACCAGGCTACTCAGCGGTCGTCACAAGGTTACACCTTCAGCCTTGGCTCTGGCTCATTTTCGTGGCGCTCTTCTCGTTCTTCTTTGGTTCTCAGCTCCATCGCAGCATTCGGCGGCGCGTGAGGGGCGACAAGGGAAAAAACTGCTGGCAAATCAACATGGGGCAGTACAACATGCAGGAATAGAACAACAGCAGCCATAACAACACCCCCGGGCGTGAGAACACCACCATGGGGAAGCCCAAACCCAGACCTGATACTAAGGGGGCTGGCAAGGGGAAGGCTACCGCTACTCAACAAGGATCCAACACAGCCTCCCATCCAGCCAGGGTAGGACGGACGCGGCTGCTGCTGCAAGGTCGAGCGGGTCCTCCTGGGCAGAATCAGCAAGCCGCGCCAAAGCTCCAGGGCCAGGCGTGAGGGCAGCCCCACGGGAGCCTGGCACAAAGCCAATCAGGGGGAGGTAATGCTGCAACTCCTCCGCTACCGCCACCATCGCTGCCTGCTCCGCCGGCTGCATCGCCTTGATCTGCACCTCCTGCTGCACCAGGGTCACGTGAAGCTGGTCGAGCACGTACGAGAGCAGCGTCATGCACGTCCCAACGTGCATCACGCACTGCTTGACACGAATTGGGGGCTCACCAGGAACCACGGCAGGGGGAGGCTGTGCGGGAGGCGTCACTGGCTCCCATGGACGCGGCACAGAGGGGCCGCCATACAATTTCCGATGGAAAGACGGCGGGGCTGGTATTGACTGAGGGCTTGGAGCGTGCAGGAGAGATGACGGAGTAAGGTGGGGCATCGAGGGACGAGGCTGCTGCGGCTGGAGGGGCAGGGGAAAATGACAAAGCGGGGACTGAGCTGGTGGCTGCTATGATACCCAGGATGGCGGCTGCAACGGTGCCTGAGGTAGCTGCTGCTGCTGCGTCTGCAGCAGAGACGGTGGCAGGCCCGGTGCCTGCTGGCGGTTCTGCCGCTGCCTTTGGCGGCGGCTCAACTTCACCCTCTGCCACCCCACGGGTTGCACAGTCGAAGGTTGAGGAGCCGAGTCCGGGCGCGGATCAGGAGCAGACCACGGAGGCAGCATTGTCCGCATCGCCGGCAACTGTAACGATGGCTGTGCTGGCGGCGGCAGTGTCTGCTGCGACTAGGGAGCAGGGCGGAGCCCCAATGGCAGAAAACCGTCCAGAGGTTTCGGAGGCTGCAGCCAATGGGGACAAAGCTGGCTCTTCTGAGGAGAATGTCAAACTCATATGTTATAGTCTGTGTAGGCTGTAGTGGGGTAGACAATATGGGGTACAACACTTCTAGGTTTTCCTACTTGTACCCACCTGCTTGCTAGTTCATTCATTCCTCATTTCTTAACATGGTATAGAGCAGGTTCCCTAGTGGGAACGCTTCCTTGGGCCCACCACTGAATTTTTTTTCTGACCGGAGCGACAGACGCTCCTGCCCGAGGCTCGCCTTGTGGGCTGCCCTTCTGTCGACCTCTCTTAGAGGCCCCTCTCACGGCCCCTCGCGCCACCCTCAGCGGCCCCGTCGCCGCCCCTAGTGGCCCCGTAGCCGCCCTTCCAGGCCCCTCGCGGCCCCTAGCAGCCCCGTCACCGCCCCTACGCGGCCCCGTCGCCACCCCTAGCGGCCCTGTCGCTGCCCCTTACGGCCCCGTTGCCGCCTCCCTCCCTACCCAGCCCCGTTGCCGCCCCTACGCGGCCCCGTCGCCGCCCCTAGCGGCCCCGTAGCCGCTCCCCACACTACGCGGCCCCGCAGCCGCCCCTACGCGGCCCCGTCGCCGCCCCTAGCGGCCCCGTCACCGCCCCTAGCGGCCCCGTCGCCGCTGACCTCCCTACGCGGCCCCGTTGCCGCCCCTACGCGGCTTCGTCACCGCCCCTACATGGCCCTATTGCCGCCCCTAGCGGCCCCGTAGCCGCTCCCCTCCCTATGCGGCCCCATCGCCGCCCCTACGCGGCCCCGTCGCCGCCCCTAGCGGCCCCGTCGCCGCTGACCTCCCTACGCGGCCCCGTTGCCGCCCCTACGCGGCCCCGTCGCCGCCCCTACGCGGCCTCGTCGCCGCTCTCAGCGGCCCCGTCGCCTCCCCTACGCGGCCTCGTAGCCGCCCCGTCGCCGCCCCTAGCGGCTCCGTCGCTGCTCCCCTCCCTACGCGGCCCCGTCGCCGCCCCTAGCGGCCCCGTCGCCGCCCCTACCTGGCCCCGTCGCCGCCCCTAGTGGGCAGCCGAGCCACCGAGCCGCTCAGCAGCAGCAGCCGCCCCTGGAGCAGCCTCCACTGCAGCAGCCGCCCCTGGAGCAGCCGCCACTGCAGCAGCCGCCCCTAGAGCAGCCGCCACTGCAGAAGCCGCCCTTGGAGTAGCCGCCATTGCAGCAGCCGCCTCTGGAGCAGCCGCCACTGCAGCAGCCACCCCTGGAGCAGCCGCCACTGCAGCAGCTGCCCCTGGAGCAGCTGCCCCTGGAGCAACCACCCCTGCAGCTGCCGCGGAGCTCTTGCTCTACAGTGGTAGCGGCATCGCCGTTGCCGCCACCGTACGCCTGCCCTTCTCGCCACTGAAGAGCACTGCCCTGCCCGTACTGCTGTGCTGCTCTTACTACTGCTGCTCTTTCTACTGCTACTGCTGCTCCTGGCGTGGCCACATGCAGCTCCAGCGTCGCCCGCGTGAGTCCCTCACCCCCCAACAGCTTCGTGAGTGGTACGCTAGTTGGGGTTGTCGAGGTGGCCGTAGTGAGTCGTCCTGGAGTGAGTAGTTCCGCAGCTGCTTGTAGTGGCAGGATGCAGCTCCATTGTCGCCCGCGTGAGTCCCTCACCCCCCAACATCTTCGTGAGTGGTACACCAGTTGGGGTTGTCGGGGTGGCAGTAGTGGGAGTCGTCATGGAGTGGGTAGTTTGGGAGTTTCTTGTAGTGGCCTGATGCAGCAGCAGCGCTGTTCGCGCGAGACTCTTTCACCTCAGCAACTTCGTGAGTGATATGCTCAGAGTGGAGGGTCGCTAAGTACTGCTCGCTGCCCGTACGTTATTAGCACGGGTGTCCGGACTGGTCAGACTTGCGGGACGCGTGGTCACACACAGTCCCGCTCCTTCGCGCGTCTGAGCGACACTTGGCTTACAGAGTTTGGCGACGACGCTAAGCTCCCCGTCTGGGTGGAGCTGCTTAGGCAGAGGGTAGATATCTTTGCTCTTGACTATGATGCAATTCTCACTGCAATGTATGCATTGTCTACTAGTGCCGAGGGAGTCTGTCACCTGTGTGTGCCGCCTGACCCCGGTATCCAGTCTGCTGATCTAGGTGCTAGTGAGGCTGCTGCTCTAGGTGCTAGTGCGTCTGCTGCCCCAGGTGCTGGTGAGTCTGCTCTCTCAGGTACCACATCGGCTCAAGCCTTACACACCTTCACCCGTGACTCGGGTGTTTCCCGCTCCTTCTTTTGAGACCGCACCACGCTTACGCCGCTTAGTCGGCCAAATGCGGTCTCCCTGGCGGACCCCTCTGGGGGTCTTGTCCTTGCTAGCTTCTTCACTGTCTTACTGTGCCCGACAGCCCCCTCTGGCACCCTGTCAGGTCTCTACCTCCCCTCGTTCTCTATGAACTTGGTGAGAGGAGCTGATCTACAGGATAGGGGGGTTGACCAGTTCACTCCTGCGAGTCAGCGAGTGACCCACTGCACGTGTGTTCGGACAGGCCGACACTTGGCCACGTTCACCCGTCGGCCGGGGTCGAGCCTGTACACACTTACTACTGAGTCTCCTCCGACTGCTGAGTCTGGTGAGGTAGCTGCATTAAGTCAGGTGTTTGCTGTAGCGTCCAGGTCTGGTCCTGAGTCTGCTCCCTGCTCGTGTCGTCTCCTGTCCCACCAGACTCTCCTTTCGCACCACCGCCTTGTTCACCCCTCCTTGCCTCGTCTCCGAGGCATGGCCTCCCGTGTCCTTGTCCCTGGTCTCCCCCGGTCTTTCCCTCCCCGACCTCCGGGGCCTGCCCCTACCTGCGTCCCCTGCGTCGAGGGGTGACAGCGCGCCGCCCCTCACTCCTCCGTGTTTCCTCCGACAGAGGCTCCGCAGCAGACTCTTCACATGGACGTGTGGGGCCCAGCCTGTGTCCGTGGACAGGGGCACGAGCGTTACTTCCTGTTGGTGGTTGACGAATACTCGCGTTACACCACGGTCTTCCCCTTGCGCAGCAAGGGTGACGTCACTGAGGTGTTGATCGACTGGATCCGCGCAACTCGTCTCCAGCTCCGAGAGAGTTTCGGCTCGGAATTTCCTTTTCTGCGTCTGCACTCTCATAGAGGCGAGGAGTTTTCCTCTGCTCGTCTAGGAGCCTTCTGTCGTGCACAGGGCATCGGTCAGACCTTCACACTTCCGGCCTCTCCACAGCAAAATGGGATTGTTGCGCCGCATTGGCATGGTCATGGACGTCACTTGTACGTCCATGATCCATGCGGCTTCCCCCCATTTTCTGTGGCCGTTTGCGGTTCAGTACGCCGCGCATCAGCTTAACCTTCAGCCCCGGGTCTCCTTGCCTGAGACCTCCCCCACCTTGCGGTGGACGGGGAAGGTTGGCGATGCGTTTGCGTTTCGGGTATGGGGATCTCGGGCGTTTGTCCGCGACTTGTGTGCGGACAAGCTGTCCCCCCGTGCTGTTCCCTGCGTCTTCCTTGGCTTCCCCCCTGACGCGCCTGGGTGGCAGTTTTACCACCCCACCTCGCGCCGCGTTCTGTCCTCCCAGGACGTCACCTTTGACGAGTCGGTGCCTTACTACCGTCTCTTCCCCTACCGCACAGCGCCCCTCCCCCCACCGCCATTCTTCCTTGTGCCAGGTCCTCCCCCGGTAGACCCCCTCCCCCCTCAGGGTCCTGCCCTGACAGGTGTGTCCAAAGTAGATGCAGTCGAGCCTGTCGAGGTAGCTATTGGCTCTGGTGTTGCTCGAGGTGCTGTGCCTGCGGGTGCCGGGTCTAGGGGTGCGGAGCCTGGGGGTGCTGAGTACAGGGGTGCAGAGCCTCGGGGTGCTGAGTCTGGGGGTGCTGAGCTTGGGGGTGCTGAGTCTAGGGTTGCTGAGTCTGGGGGATCTGAGCTTGGGGGTGTGGAGCCAAGGGGTGCTGGGTCTGCTCGTGTCACCTATCACGGTGCTTCGTCGAGGCGAAAGCCGCTCTCTTCGCAGGAGCTGCGCGAGTGGTTTGCCCGGCGCTGGAGCCGTGCTGCTAGAGCTGGAGGTACTACTGTTGCTGCTGGTCCCGGAGGTGCTTGTACTGGTGGTACAGGAGCTGCTGGGGCTGGGGGTGCTGCTGGAGGTACTGCTCGAGCTGCTGGCGGTACTAGAGCTGCTGGTCCTACTGGAGTTGGTGCTGCTGGAGCTGCTGGAGTTACTGGAGCTGGAGCTGCTGGGGGTGTCGGCGCTGGTGGTTCTGCTGGCGCTCGTGGTTCTGCTGGTGCTGGTGCGTCTGAGGGTGCTGGAGTTGGCGCTGTTGGCGCTGGCGGTGCTGCTCACATTGGTGCTGCCGCTGGGGGTACTGGTGCTGTCCCTGCTGGTTCTGGAGGCACTGCGCGGCCGCGGCCGTACTTCAATCCGCTACTTGAGCAGGTTCTTGGTCTCCCGCCCTCTACTGGTCATGCTCCCCCCTTAGATTGTCGACAGCCTGTCCAGTCGCAGTCACAGTTACAGCCCGCCTCCCCCCTGCCTGCTCCTTCTCCCTACACTGGTCCTACTGGAGGTCTTACTGAGCATCGAGAGCATGCGTCTCGTCCTTCGTCGCCTGTTCGTGCTACTCGCACTAGTCGTCGTGCTCCGCGTCCGCGTCCTCCTACGGTCCCAAGCACACACCAGATGGCACTGCGTCTGTCCACTGCTCCTCTGCGTGTCCCGTTGCCGTCTCCTCCAGAGTCCTCTCTTCCTTCACTTGCTGACCCGGAGTCTGACTCTCTCCGTGCTGCTAGTCCTACTGTCACTCGTCTCCTAGCTACTGTTGTCACCGACCCTTCCTTTGAGTCCACTGCTGCGTCTGCTTTAGTTGCTGAGCTTGTCAACTTTGCTGCTCGCTGTCGTCTAGACTACGCTGCTAGTCTCGTTCCTGAGTCTGCGTGCGTCTGTC